AGGTCAAACCCTTCTGGAACCTTAGCTGCAGAAAAAGCATCCATCTATCCATCTTCGAAGAGAATGTTCTTCAATTTGATGAATTTCTCATCATAATTGGTCATTGCTGTAGCTCGACTTTTTGTGTTCCTTTCGGATACGACTAGCCTTACAGTTTAGACTCCTGTGGTTCTAAATTTGATTTCACAAGTGCAATGTGAAATAGATAAACACAAAAGAATCCAAATCCGACAAATCTTTCGAAAAATCAATTTTGAATCAAAATGTCAAAAATGGACTGCTTTGCCAGATATAGAGTCGCCACCTAAATATTTTGAGAAATTTAGGAAACCCATGACTCGTGCCAAAGGCCACGTGTCCGTCATCACCAAGATTGTCTCAGCTCGGGAACTTTGGTACGAGAGGGGAAGGTCATGAATTGAGCACCCTTACTCGCCTGATCAAAAATCGGCTTCTACTAATCATGATGTGATTCTTATTTACATTATATGCTTTTGTTCTGCTTATTAGGCTAACATTACTTTATGATGCGCACATAAGTATAGATTAATTTGTAAAAATTGGAACTCTTTGATTCATGTTTGTTTGAAAATTGTTTCGAATATATGCCACTTGAAAAGGTGATCTCATATGTACATTACTCAAATTTTTCCAATTCAAGCAATTAGCCTTCATCCACAGGCATTCAAGCAATTTATCAATTAAACAATTAGCCTCGTGGCAAGCATGCCAGACATGGCAACAATCACACGCATGCGATATGCTAAAGCACAAAAATGCTCACCTCGTACTCCAAGGCAAGCCAAAAGAAACAAAAAGAGTTAAAAAATATGCATGCTCCTAGCTAATGCAACACATGCAATGGTGCAACTAATAGGCTCGGCTACAAATTGTGACATGTGAATCAATTTGATAGCATGCAGTTTAAACACGTTTTCAACGAAGTAATAAACGACAATGCTTTGTTAGAATAATGAACCAAGCCTCGATGCATGCAAGACAAGTGAATGCAAACATGGAGTATGCTAAAAATAAACATGATGCTCTAAACTACCCATAATAAGCAAGTAAATAAAATGGAGAAATACGTGGGGTTGGAAGACATACACATTATTACAAGTTTGGCCCTCGCACAAGAGAGTTCGAATAAATGGACTAGCTAATTAATTACCTAATTAACTAACTATTACAAACCAAATGAATAAATTAACTACACTAGCTAAGCTACTTAACTAATTATTACAACAACAAAATTTAACTAACTATTCTAGCTAATTAAATAAGTACAACTCCAAAACTAACTAGCTATTCTAACTAATTAGTTACAAACTCGCTACTCCAAGCACAACATACTACTATTGTAACATCACTTCACGGATCTCGAGAATTAAGGGATGACTTATGTATGGATGTGGATTTTCATCCTATAATGCTCTCTGTTTTGCTACCGGAATGCCTCTGTTGTGCAGTTGAAAAATTGCACTGTTTTTCACCTCAGTCTCTACTCTGCGCTGCTTTGCTGGAAAAAGGACATTGTCTAGCTAGAAAAAGTGGCCGACAACCCAGAAGTAGTGGCCAGCAGGCCACTACTAGTGGGTTGCCGTCTAGTAAAAGTGGTATGCCGGCCACTGATGTTGGTTTTTTCTTACAACAACAGACAACAAACAGAGCACAAACTAGAGTATTTTCAAGGGATGTTTGTTCACCTTGCCTCTCCTTATCAGCAAACAGGTCAAATGAGGGGTAACCTTGATTCGCAAATCATCAATCGACGTAATTTCATTGCGTTATGATTTACGAATCAAGAGACACAATTTTAATAAATGCATAACAAAAGACCAACAAAATCTCCTCCTTATCATGGATTGATCAAGTGAAGTGGTTGACCATAGAAACTTAAACCATTTTATCATTTAACAAGTATGAAATGACTCGAGTCTCCATGTGTTCAATTATCGTCCGATTGAACACCAAATATAACACCCCCAAAATTTATGCAATAAAGATAACTCATACGTGGAATAAATATGAGAAATAACATACTTTCATACATCAGAGTTTACTGTTTAACAAACCATTAAATGCCATGCAGGCTTACATCTTTCCAAGTCATTACTTGGTTACACAAATTGAGTCTTGCTCATTTCATCTTAAGCCCTTGGCTTTACAAATACCAACAAACACACAACAATACATAATTTAGAAGCTCTTGCTTCCCGAAAGTCCATCCACGCTATTACCTTGGAGGAAACATCTCATCTGCACTTGAAAAATGGTATTCCCATATAGGGTGAGCCAACAGCCCAGTAGAAATAATCTAACACAATTTATGAAGTTTAGCAAAGGTGTAAATACCACGTATATAAACAATACCGATATGGAAGCATCCACAAGGCCTATATACCCATATGCCACTGAGGCCAATCTTATTCCATTTTCCTTCAATTCATTACCAGTTCATATATATATACCACTCAATTCATGAGTTAAATTCATTATCTTTCAACAACCAAAATGAGACTACAACTCAATGGTTTTCCAATTATGTAAACATACACATAAACACTTCAAACTTTGCCATTTTACGGATATTTCGTCAGAAGGAACCAGCACCCATTTATATATATACTTTCGGGTCTTTCACCCAAGACACTCCTGCCAACTTGCTTTAAATGGAGTCCATCCCCTTTCTTCTCCCCAAACAAATATACATATGCAATGTATTTAAAAACATAATCATATATGGAGTACATCCCCTTTCTTCTCCCAATAAACATACATATACAATGTATTTACAACATGGTCATATTCAATGGCACCAACAATAGATTAGCATTAAATCACCTAATCCTCATACAATTTCTACAACAATCATAGCTATCTTCCATCGATAGCCTAATACAATTATTTCTAAGATATATTCAGGCCCCGTTTGGGGACTTACTTTTTTAGCCAATTAGCTAAAAAGTTACTAAATTAGTCAAAAAGCCAACAATTCATACCAAAAAGTCAAAGATTCTCTTTTCTCTCTACTTTTTGCACATCTTTTCGTAATTAGCCAAAAAGTCATCCCAAACATACAAGTTTTTTTTACCTACCTTTTTAGCCAAATAGCCAAAAAGTTACTAAATTAGCCTGTTCCCAAACGAATCGGATTTAATAGTTTATTCAAAACTTCCATAGGTGAGATAATACATATCCAATATCACCATCTATAACAATAACCATCCAATTTAACATATTCAATGTTAATTCTAATTATTTATACAAAATAATCATTTTATCATATTAAGGCAAAAATTTCCCTTTTTCCAATATTGGCTCAACCACCCAAAATCAACTATTTTGGTACACCAAGATCTTATTTTCAAGCCTCATACTCATTTAACTCATATTCATCAAAAACCCATCTTTTCATTTTACACCCAAATCTTAGATTTGTCCAAACCATAACCAAATCTCATCATCTATACACAATAGCAAATAACTAAGCTAAAAACCATACTAGAGTGTAGAAAATCCCTACCTCAAGTGTAGAAGAAGAACAAGCAAGATCGAAACTCCAAAGGTAACGAAATCAACTTTTACTTGGATCAACACGAAGCTCTTGAAGCCCTCTACCTTATTCTCCAAGACACTAGGGTCAAGAACACAATGAATGTAGATGAAACCTTAGGGAGAAGGTGACTTCTAGAGAGAGAGACTGCAAATTTAGGGTTTAGGAGTGAAAAATGAGATAAAAAAATGTAGCAAAACGGCGCTGCTGTGTACTAATGTAGACTAGGCTCGCTCGAGCAAAGGAATGCTCGCTCGAGCGACCAGATACAAAAAGGTCGCCTCGCTCGAGCGAACAATGCAAAGCTTCAGGTCTGCAATACAGAAGTATGCTCGAGCAAAGGAATGCTCGCTCGAGCGAAGAACACCAACCTTTAGGTCTTACAGAGACGCAGACGCACGCTCGAGCGCAAGAGTGCTCGCTCGAGCGAAGAAACATTTTCACAGAGCTCGCTCGAGCGCAAGAAGCCTCGCTCAAGCGAAGAAGCCAAAATCTCTGCAACAACCATTTGTACCAAAAGACAACCAACCTATTCCAAACTCGCCCAACAAGTCCCAAAACTCAAATTCAAAGAATTAAAGGGAGGAAACAAGACATAAATAACAATATACACTCACGGAACCTGAGTCCGGAACCCAATAAAGGTCGGGGTAAAACCGAGATCGCTATACCAAATCACCTTATTATCTTGCATCACTTTTAGTCCCAATTTATTACTCCATTCTAATTACCATCCATTCATTAGTTCATTTAAGTCCAATAATGAGCTTTAAATCCTCTAATGGAAAGGAGCATCAAACAAAAAGTTGTTTTAGGCATAAGAGAGACACCATACCGTTGGTAATGAACCCCCCAAAGGGATTAAACCATTAAGCACGATACCTCTATTTTAAGCTTAAACAAACAATTAGTTTGAAACAACCTTCAAAACAAAAAATAAAAAGCCAAGAAAGGAATGAGGTTGCAGAGGTGATTAGAGATGAAAACAAGTATAGAAAGTAAAAAATAAACATTATCAAGTCAAATAGGTTAGTGGCTAAGGCCTAAACCACTAAGCCTATGAGGACCATTACACTGTAAGCATGCTATACAAAGCTCAAATGTAATGAACAACTAAAAATAGTCCTAAAACAGTCAAAAACAGTGCTGGACTTAAGACAAAAATAGCTAAAACAATATGCTACAATATGGAGCAAGTTAAGTTAGTAAGTAAGCACGAGGAGGGGAGGTTACCCACTCCATTTTTGGGGCTTCAAAACATGATTTTAGTCTCTAAAAAACCTCTAAGATTCAGTAGTAAAAAGCTCAAAAGAAGGGTGATCCACCCCTCTACCCTTAATGGCCTTAAACCACAAGTTTCAGCCCAGAAATTCAGTGCAAAAAACAATCCCAAAATAGTAAAAAAGATGGCAAATAAAGAAAGGAAACAAGTTAAGAATTATACCTCTTGAAAATGGATACCCTTTTTGAGTTACAAACTAACAATTACACACCCTCAAGAGCTAAACGCAAGCTCAAAACACCTTAGCACAAATACCACAAGGTTTGGTTTAGAGTGTACAGGCAAAGAGTGAAGAACTTGCAAGAGAGAGAGAGAGAGAGAATTGTAGAAAGAAAGAGAAATTTTTGCTCCCAAATTTTTCTAACCTTTAAAACAAGAGAGGAGGTCATCTATATATAGAAAAACAAGAGACTACCTCAGAAATATCTATACAGACACGTATGAACTGGTGTATGCATCTGTGGAAACAACTGGCAAAAATATCTGAAAAAATACACAAGTGGCCGGCAGTCCACAAATAGTGGGTTGTCGGCTACTATAATGGCTGGCAGTCCACACTAGTGGGTCTGCAGGTACCAGGATGTTTAGGTTTGAAAAATTGTTACTTTGGTCCAAAAACAAGGCAAGAGGTTCATAGGGTTTTGAGGCTCAAAGCTAAGGCACTCTGCTGAGGACTTCGAGCATTTGACAAGCATATACAAATTCATCATTGGGTGCATAATCGGTGGCGCCTAAGTCGTAAGGGCGGTAAAAAATGGGGTGTCTACAGTTGCCTTGTTGCATCTTTCATCCTTCGCATCTTTAATAGTAGCGTCATGAGTTGCTTTAGACCCATCAATGGTGGCAGAGAGCTGATCTTCCTTCAAGGCAGTAACCTCTTAAGCTGAAGACTTAAATGCGGCGTCCACTGTTAGAAGATTCTTCTCCATCTTCACCACCTTTCTATATGAGGTAGCAAACTTGAGCTCTAGCTCCTTTACCTTTTTGTTCTGTTTGTCCCAAGAGCTATTTAGCTTATTGGCAGCCTTTGTCAACCTCTTATAGCGAAGCATGGCTTTATAAGTAGAAAAAAGGCCCTACAAAAGAGACATGAAATCAACACTGGTAGACAGTTGTAGAGAGGAGACAATAAAATAAGCAAAGAATAACACTCACTACCAAGGAAAAATGTAGAGCCTGAGAGAAGACGGTTGTGTCTGATTGCTCATTCAGTTAACCAATATCGATTGGGAGAATAAAGTTGCAAATGACTGTAGCACCTACTTTGGTGTTCCCCATTGTCAAATCAGTATTCGTGAGTTGCCAATCTTTTAGAGACGACATAAGGATGATCAGGGACCCGACAGTGGCTACCTTATAGGTGCCAGCAATAGAAGATACAGCAGTAGGAAGAAAATGGTCAAATCAGCTCTTCTTATGAACCTCTGCAGCTTGATTGGATGGGCACTTGCCCGACCTCCACTCAGTAGATATGAAAGTAAGACTCTCAGTAGTAGCAACGACAAGAGCAGAAGAAGCATCATTCACCGCCACAATCGGTGATTGTTGATGATAATCAAAGGTTGTTGAACCAAAAACATTTTGAGAAACGGAGGACAACCCACCTTCTTTTCGGTGCTTCCTCTCAACGACGATCTCCACAAATTTATTCTACAACATGTTATCAGAGACTGTAGCTTCAAAATCAGCTGATTCTTCTTGAGGATTTTCCTTTTCGGCTACTAACTCTTTAATGTTCTCATAAAGATAAAGAAGAACGTAGAAATCGAAACCGACGTCATCTCTGAAGGGGACATCGTCTGTTGATACTATGGTGCCGCAATATGAGATGTAGGAGAGGAGCACGTGAGCAGTACGACCTTGATCTTGTTGCTTTGGAGGGCCTCTGTATGCCCAGACTTGTTGAAGAAGAGGGATGTTGACCTGATCTTCCCACTCACTTGGGTGAAAGAAAAATTTTGAGGCCGGAAAGAGGGAAACAAGATAACAGTATCAGCGTAAATCCCACAAAAAGTAAATTCATATGCAAGAAAGATGAAAACATTAATCTGGTCGGCTAATGACCTTAGGGATAGGTCAAACCCTATTAATGCCAAGAGGAAACTCCCAGTTACCCTATACTATTGCAACCATATCGTTGACACCCTTACTAAAATTGAGAAACATTTGAACTAATTGGCGTTTCGCTGATCTGGGCTTGACATAGAATTTTGCTGTCTCTTTGGTAACAAGGATGAAATTGTAATAGGATATAATATCTTGGAGGCCTAGGTTTACTCCTAAATTGTTGTTCAAGGCAATACCTCTAAGAATAGGGTGAAGAGGGAATCAAACTCCTCCCTCAACAATGTCGATTAAGGGCCATGGAATTCGCACATTTGACCCTTCGATGATATCGTCATCGTCAACAAGAAGATGGATGAATACATCATCAAGAATATTATGGAGAATTCTAAATTCCTAAATATTTTCTTCAGACTCAAAGAAACGCCTGAGACAATTCATGGCAACTAGAAAGTGAAAAGAGTAACTACAGAGAAATCATAAGAGAATGAGAGAAGATGAACTTACAAAAAAAGTAGACTGATACTTCAAATGGTGGAGAGAGAAAAAGGTGCATCTAGATTTTTGAAAGGATTGCAAGCAAAGTGATGGAAAGTAAGGGGCACTTCCTATTTAATGTGTTAGAGGTGAAACGGCACCTAAAAGGACGACATGACGAATGTCATCATTAAAGGCGAAATCAAAGAACATGTGTTATAAATGAAAATGGTTTGGCTCATTATCTAATCAGACTAATGTCTTTGACAACCAACCCAACCCAAGTCAGCCACCGAAGAAAGGCAATTGTAGAGGGATAAAATGTTGGTCTAAGCCTAAATAAATTAGGCAATTGGCCCAAAAGAAAGGGAAGGCTGATATGAGCTTTTTAAAGAGTCTATTAGAAGTGACTAATAATAAACTGACGCGTGGCTAAGACCATGAGGAGCAACAGAGAGTAAAAATCTCCTTATAGAAGGAAGATTCGCAGAATGTAAGGGAAACGTTGGATTCATCTTCATCCAACGGTGGAAATATCAAAGTAGCAAATGCATGAGTATAGGTCAAGCCTACTGGATGGTAAGTCTATCCAATCAACCTGATTTGACGAATACAACGCTTGGCAAATTGGTCATTAGCATCTGACGTTATCTAAGACATCCATAAGAGGACGATCCAATAATCAATGGTAAAAGCAACTTGACCATTTGCCTTACTAGAACCAGGTACAGGCAAAACTCTCAGATCAAACATTGATCCAACAGATGGGATTCAAGTCAAAAAAACTATAAAAGACGAAGCAAGTGAAGCAAAGTGGATAGACCGAAGGTAATCCAAGAACTCCTTTTCAAATACAAATATTCATAGCTAAATAGTTGTCTAACTTGACCGTCGAAGGGTCCTCTCGACCAACCCGGGTTGGGAGTGATCACTAACGTTTTGGTTTCTCTTGACAGAGTAAAGGAATAGACACGTCATTTCGCTTTCCCTATGGAGAAGAATTCTACCTTCCACACAACGTATACAAGTTTTAGAAATTAATTAATCTTTTTGTTCTTAAAAGTAAAAGTTTTGTTGCAACAAACATTTGGGGACTATTTCTCGTTGTTGTGAGACTAGTCATTAAAAAGTCGTCTTGAAAGTAAAAAATATATATTTTTAGCAATAAAATTTTGAAAATATCGTTAGTAAATAGACTTTTAGGGACAAAATATTTGATGTCAAAAAGTTTTATTTTTTTAGACAAAAAATTTGATCCCAAAATAATAGTAATTCACCACTAAATGTCCAATTTTGTTGGTAAAAATATAACGATAACACTTTTGACAACCAAAATATTTTGTCCCTAAAAATAATTTTATTCTTAAAATTTGTCTTTTATAGTGTCTTTCTTTCTGCCCTTCACCGAAAGATAAAATTATTTTATGAAAACAATGAAATTTTCAAAATCCTTCAAATTGAGAAATTCTTCTAGTTTATCTATTTTTGTGTCTATATTTGGTATAATTATTTCAAAAGATTTGGCCTTTATTTATTTTATTTTTTTTAGAGAGAAGGTTGTGTTATCTGTTTTGTGGGTTTATTATAGGTCTTACTTCGATAATTTGAATTATTCATTCTTTAGAATCTTGCATGTAGATTATCCATAACAAAATTCATCTCTATCCAATAATCATAACTACATAATTTCATCAAATTTGTCTTTAAAAAATAAAAAAACAGTAAGTATGATTTTGAATAAATTATCATTTTTTTGGTTGTTGATAAATCTTATGAAATCATGCAATTACGATTATTTAATCGATTTTTTTTTTCTTCTTCCCCTTATAAATGATTTACATGTATAGGGGAAAAAAATGAAATTATGGCAAAAGCCCAATCTTCTCTTCAACTAATTAATAAGAAGCCACATACTAATTTAAGTATGTTTTAATGTGGATTGAATTACCATAGTTGTTTTTTGTAGCTCTGTCTTATAGTAATGTTAGAGATCTCAAATATTTTATCAATATTTTTACTAAATATTTTACATAAGTGTAAGACTTACATGTGACTCATATAGTGTGAATTCTATATCCATGTAAGATATGCTTGATCTCACATGAGACTCACATAGTTCTCTTTTCAACTCTCGATGTCTGATTAACCTGATTTTTGATATGCTTGATCTCATTAAAGAGTTCTAAAAAATAAACAATTTGAATCATGAAAATAGATATGAAATAAACCCATAGTGAGTTGGACTAGATTTGGGAAGAGTGTTGTGATAGCACCGCTGTCACACCCCGAGAGATTTATTCCGATTATATTTTGATGATTTAAATCATATATAGTATAATGTTCGTTGATGATATCATCTATATAAAAAATGAGATTAATCGGACAATTGAATAGAGAATCCAATTTCCTAAATCTAAAGAACTCAATTATAACGTGACAAATGGAGACAAGAAACATGATAATAAGCCTCTTGATGACCTTTAGCTGGCATCATATCCCCAATAATGCACTTTTTAAATCCTCACAATTAACATAAGAGAATCGCCAATGATAGCAACAGGAAAACAATCACCAGAAAAGATCAGCAACAACAAAAGATGGTTGTCACAAGTCATGGTTTACAATGGTAGTAAGGCAATGGTGGTAATAGGAGAAAGCTAATAAAATTTTATATTTTGATTGTATTTTAACTTTTGTCTTTGATTGAAGAAAAATATTTTAATTTATCTTTTTTTTAAAAAAAAAATTTGCAACCCAAAAACTCCTTCCGAATCTATATATATATATATATTTTGAGTGGACAAGGGAAGCCCAACTCTATCTACAACCACCCAACACACCCCACCACACATCACATGGTCATTAAAATGAATTGAGACAAGAAATGAAATTGGTTGGTAACATTTGGTAATGTTTATGTTTTTTATTTATGTTTATAAAAATTTTATAAATTGATTTTTATTTATTTTTAGAAAAGTATAAATTATAAACGCGTATGGTTTGAACAAAATGTTTAAAAAATTTTAAAACTATAAACTAAAAAATATATTTATTCATGCCTAAAATATTTGTATTTATTTTTATTATTTATGACAATGGGATCAAATACATTATAATTGAAAAAAAATTAATTTAAAAATAATTGAAAAAAAAATTAATTGGGAAAAAATAATTGAAAAATAATTATTTGAAAAAAAAATTAATTGAAAGAAAATTATTTGAAAAAATAATTAATTGAAAAAAAAATATTTGAAAAAAAATTATTTGAAAAAAAAAATTGAAAACTGAAAACGTAAACTCATTTTTTGAGTTTACAGTTGCGTTTGGTAGAGTTTTGTAAATATAATTTGAGAGTATGAGTTGTATTTTGAATTTGTAAGTTGTAGAAATATGATTTGAGTGTAAAAAATTTGTTTGGTTATGATTTTTGAATAGAGTATTGAATTGAGTTTTGAATTGAGTGTGAAATTGAGTTTTAAAAGTTTGATTTGACATGTGAAATAAGAAAATTTGTTTGGTTATGAGTTTTGGAAAGAGTTTTCAAAACTTAATTTAAATTGTTATAACTCATAACAAAACACACTACTTTCACACTGTAAAAATTCTGATCAACACTCATAACCAAACTTTTTTTGAAATTCAACAAAGGAAATAATTTTTTTTTTCAAAATAAATATTCAAAAATTTTAAATCATAAATATTTAAATAATTTAAATAATCTAAAAAATTTAAATCGTAAAAAATTAAATAATTTAAATATTCAAAAAATTTAAATAATTTAAAATGTTAATATTTTAAATTTAAAAGCAACTATACACTCAAATCGTAACCAAACACATAAAACAAAAGTCAGTTAAGAAATTATTTTTAAAACTCATAACCAAATACATAACAAAAAAAATTAAAATATTTGAAAATATTTTTATAAAATAGAGTTTAAATTTATTTTTATAAAATATTTTAAAATTTAAAAAATTAAAATCGTAATATTTTGAAATTAAAATATTTAAAAAAATTAAAAAATTAAAAAAATCATAACATGTTTAAATATTAAAATATTTAAAATCTTAACAAAATTAAAATATTGATTTGAATTGAGTTTTGAAAAGAGTTTTGAATTATGTGTTTGGTTATGAGTTTTGACAAATAATGATTATGTTTTGAATTAAGTTTTGAGAAATGAGTGTAGAATTATGATTTGAAAGCTCAAAACAAACAATACAGCCAAATCAATAGGTGGAACTATAATTCAAAACTCTTACCAAACGGAGCTCGTTTTTTTCTCAAATTTATAAACTGAGGTAACCATTTAAAAATTAAAAAAATTATTAAACAAGTTTTTATGACAATTTTTAAAATTTTTATAAATATAAATTGAAAATGAAATGGTTATCAAACAGACTTGTTGTATTTTGCTTGATTTGAAATTGGCAAATATTGTTAAAAAAACAGAAGGAAAAAGACGACGACGACAAAAAAAAAAATAAAAAAAAAGGAAGAAGAAGAAGGTCGGTAGGTACAGTTCAAAAAAAAAAAAGGTCGGTAGGTAGTGAGATTAAGGCCAAGTTTGGGTAGTTTAAAAAAAGTCAAAAAGTCAAAAAGTTACTCAAAAAGTTAAAAAGTCATCACTATTCACCAAAAGTCAACAATTACGGCTGCACAATTCCCAATTCTAATTTTCCCCTACAAACTAATTTTTACAATTTTTTATTACACATTTTTCCATAAAAAGTCAAAAAGTTAACCCAAACATTCATATTTTCAACCTCAACTTTTTAGTCTAAAAAGACAAAAAGTACACTTATTTAGTCTTTCCAAACTTGGCCTAAATGAATAGAAACAAGAAATGAAATTGGGTGGGTAATGAAGGAAGATGGGAGACAAAAGAGGAAAAGGGTTTGGTTTAAGTTTGGCTATCTTAAATAAGTATATATTTTTTATTTTTATTTTTATTTTTTTATCACATTATTTTTTTATTTTTCTGCATATCTTTTTATAAAAAGATAAAAAATACACTTATTTAAGTCATTTCAAATAACCCGTAAAATAGTTGTCAGTGGGACCCTTACTGGCCTGTGTGGTGCTGTGCTTACCCCTTGGCAACTTCCTACTTCGCCATGCACACCCCCCAAAACACAGCCCTCCCAAGGGAGAGCATTGGGCCTACTAGTAAAATTTGGAGAATATTACTTGTCACTCCTATTTAAATATCAAGTTCGATAAATTTTTTAAAATATATTAATAAATTTTTAAATATTTATTTTATTCTCATTATATAATTAGTTAATTAGGCAATTTTCTTTTCTCTCATTTTTTCTAACATTTTTTTCAAAAATCTCACACTATCGCCAATCACCTTACTATTCTTTGTCACCATTCATTAATCACCTCCACAGTCACCGATCTATAATGTCGCCAATCCATTGACACTGCTCACCAACCAACTCCATTGTTGCCGATCTACACAACTACCACATCACTAACTGCCTCCTCTATCATTGTCATCATCTACCTTTGTCATCTTTGTTATTTATCATTTTTTGTTGATCTCGTTTGTTCTAGATCTGCATTGATCTAGTTGTTCTAATAGTCAAATTGACTCCAAATGACTTCAAGCAATAATGATTCTCTAGATCTCGCCTTTATCATCTTTGTTATATATTACTGAATATGTCTTTGATAAATTTATTAGACCAAAGTTTGTTGCTTTCTCTGTGAAGAAGTAAATGTGTGTATGTGTAAATGTGAGTGAGTGAGTATATGAAAATAACTTAATAGTGAAAGTGGTGGCATAATGGAGATTGGAGTTATTTTTGATAAAAAATGATCAAAGAAGCGTCATTGGAAACTATCACCAAAGGTCAATAGTGAATGCTGGTAGTCAGAGACAGTGGTTGGAGGTGATCATCAACAATTGAAGGTAGTTATTAGCAACGTTGGGGATAAGGGAGGTAAGAAGATGACATTTTAGAATATTAATAAGTGAGAAAAGAGGTATGACTTAAATGGATAAGTTTGGTCAATAGATTTGACTAATAAATATCTTTAAAATTTGAGTAGGACATACCAGGATAAGTCAGAATTTTAAAATTCTAATTAAATGGTTTAATAGAGTATTGATTACAGACATTATTTGCCCTTCAATGATTTTCTTGATAAATTTAATAATTGCCCCATTGGATTTTTTTTATTATAAAAAATTAAAATTAGTATCTTTATTTTATTTTTATTTATTTATTTATTTTTGATATTTGGTTCCGTAGTTTAGATTCCTCCCCACGCAAAAAAACAAGTTTTTTTTTCCCTCTCCTCTCCTTATTTTATAACCTTTTCTTCAACTTTACTTCTTTCTCTTTTTTTTTCTTTTTAATTTCTTTGTTTTATTTTTATTTTTATTTTTTTTTCTCTCTTTTTTTCTTCTGTTTCAGAATCCTATAGTCAATCAAGATTGTGATTCTCATCAAAGAGATCATATTAACATTGAATATTATTTTCGCGTTAATATTTTTTACTATTAATTTGATACACAATTTTAAGAATTCAACAACCAATTTAAGAGGTATTTGATAGAGTTTTATTATTCTTCGCTACTTTAGATCTTAGGGATGGTTATAAGCCTTTTAAAATTGAAGATATTTGTAGATTGCAAATAAATCTATCTATTGGCATCACAAAGAATGAAAATTTGCGTTTTAAATTTCAATTGCAAAACTATGATATTTTACTTGAATTTCATAAAGGGTAGAGCTTCTCTTATATTCATATCTCAACATGAGAGAATTTGAATGGCTTGTGAGTCCCACCATGAGTCTTGTTTTAATAATCTGAACCGTTTATTTTGTATGACGCTCAATGTATATCAACCATTAAAAAAATAAGTCTGATCCAATAATCGTAATGTTTTCATTTTGTTGCATTTGTTTTTGAAAAAATAAACGACAAATATATTTTTAAAATAGACTATCTATTCTTTTAGAGACAAACATAATAAAATAAAAATGTCATAATTGTTGGATCGAACTAATTTTTTTTATTTATATTTTTTTTTATTGATGATAGACATTAATGGCCCTACAAAGTAACAATTCAAATCATCGAAACGGAACCTGTGGTGAGCCTTATGAGGCTCTCAAATTCTCTCATGTTGAGATATGAACATAAGAAAAGGCAAACATATGTAGAAATTATTAACAAATGTTTAGTTGTATCAAGTGTTGGTGAAATGAGAAAGTCTTAACAATTTACATACTTGTCAATAGATTGGTATTAATTTTACTACCTATGTTTTTTCTTGGACAACAAATACACATTCTTAACAAAGAAAATTGATTGGCTTCTCAATCCTGATATGCTGTGGGTGTGTGTTGGGTTTTAATGAATTTTTGGACAGTGGTGAGCATTGGGGAAAAGAGGACAAGCCTCGCTAGCAAATGCAAATGGAGTCTTTCTTTCAAAAACACGTTGATGGCATGTAGTTTACAACAAGAAGTAGAATTTTTTTGAGTCTCTCACAGGCATAAATAACACGTTTATTATGTTGATACCGAAGGTGAAGAAGCCTAAAAATGCTACCGAGTATCGGCATATTTCTCTATGCAATGTTGTTTACAAGAAGTTTTTGGCGAAGGTCTTAGTAAATCGGCTTAAATTGGTGCTCCCGCAAGTCATCTCGCAATCCCAAAGTGCCTTCGTCCCTGGACATCTTATCAGCGACAACACTCTTATAGCCTTCGAGATGTTCCATCACCTTAAGAACAAACCATCTGGCAACATGGTGGGGGGGACAATGGCTCTCAAACTTGATATGAGCAAGGCTTGCGACTGAGTTGAATGGGGATTTTTGTTTGCTATGTTGCGTCGGTTTTTTTCACAGAAAAATGGATCTCTAATCCAAAATTGCATGACCACTGCTTCCTATAAGGTACTTGTGAATGGCACTGGGGAACAATTTTCATTCTTCTAGAGGTTTGCGGCAAGGATGCCCGCTGTCACCATATCTTTTTATATTACGTGCCACGGGGTTTTCTGCCCTTCTTCAAAAGGCAGAATTTGAAGGGCGAATTCATGGTGTCAGAATTAGCAGGGGGTTCCAAGCATATCACACCTATTTTCTGCCGACGAGTCTCCCATTTGGCAATGCCGCAGTTGAGGAAGCAGCCAACTTCAAGCATATATTGGACGTATATGGTCTTGCTTCAGGTCAGCAAATAAATTTTCAGAAAATCATCTATATCTTTCAATAAAAACACAACGGCAGTTTTGAGGACAACAATTTTAGAGATCTTGGAGGTGGTGGAAACTATCGATCATGGCAAATATCTCAGTCTTCCCACTCTTGTTGGGAGATCAAAACGAACCGTCTTCAATAACATTACAGATTGCATCTGGAAGCCAATTCAAGGATGGAAAGAGCAGAGCAACTTTTATCTAAAGCTGGGAAGAAATTCTTTTCAAGTCAGTAGCACAAGCTATTCCTACATATGCTATGTCATGTTTCCAGCTGCCAAATTCATTGTGTGAAGAAATTGCAGCCCTTATGGCCAATTACTGGTAGGATAGACGGGAGAATAGAAAGAAAATCCACCGGAAAGCTTGGCATGGTTTATGCCGGAGTAAGCCAGATGGCAGATTGGTTTCAGAGATTTGAAGGCTTTTAATCTTGCCCTCCTAGCCAAACAAGGATAGTGACTTCTCACTCATCCTGATTCGATGGCAAGCTGTGTTTTCAAGGCAAAATATTTTCCTGATTGTTCATTTTTCCAAGCTCCGTTGGGTTCAAGAACCCTTAAAAAAAATAAAAATAAAAATAAAGCAATAGCATAATTGCCTCTTAATTGGTAACACAAAAATATGTGACATTACCCAATTCAATGTTTTTATCCACAGCTTATATGAACAAAGCACATTTCAAACAGCAAAATAGAAGTTCAATCCAAATCGACCTGATAAAAAAAAAAATAATAAAAAAAAAATCTTAATCCGATAGCCATCATCAGCAGAGAAAATCAAACCACCATTTCTGTGAAAATCGATCTTAGCATACTCGGTTGCCAATGGTTTGATAGAGAGACTTGAGCTGTGTATTCCATTTATCTATGGCGGTGTACTTTTTCATTCCCTTTGACCTGTATGACAAAATCCAACAATAATTGATACAAAAATTGAGTTTTAGCAGCTCTAAGTGAACAAATCAGAATTGAGAAAGGTACAAAAATACAATAACATGTCCTAACCTGTCGCCACGTTCTAAAAGCCGGTTGACTTGATCAATATGCCCATGGATACGGTTATCCAAGATTAGTGAAACCAACAATTCCTCAACATCTTTTTCTGGAACATTAAGCTCCTGCATTTAGACCGAGTTAGGAAGCTTATTGTCACACCAACTGTTGGGTGTAGTAATAAATGGACAAGGTTAGCTACAGCATTCCCCCAAAGCGACACGCTACATTGGTGACCGGGATTAGTGAGAAGTAGGCAAGAGCTCCTGCACATTACGAGTGTGGACAAAGAGGCTAGTCCAAGAGAGAAGGGAACTTGGAACACAGGACATTCACGAGTAAAGCGATGGAATTACTAGATATTATGATCAGGAGAACTAATATTATTTGTTTACAAGAAACTAAATATGTAGGAGAAAATTCACGTCAATTGAAAAGACATTTGGTATATTAGAAAAGACAAACATGGGAATAATAAAATTTTTGAAAGATATCAAGTAGTTAAAACCGAAGCTTAACAAGCATTTAGAGGCTAGGTTTATGTTGTGTTTGGTTGGAGGATTTGAGGAGAGATTTGGAAAGGAAAAGGGAAAAGATAGGTGAAATATGAATAAAATATACCTATATTTCACCTAGTTTCACACACCTTGTCCCTTTCCCTTTCCCTTTCCCATTCCCAATCCCTCCCCAAATGCTTTTCTTAAGTCAGATTCAAATGATGGAGAAAAAAAAATATGAACTTCCTAAGATTAAAAAAAAATTGAAAAGATAAATACCTAAACTACATTAAGTGTATTATAGGTGAAGACAAAAGAATATCAAGGATGACGAGATTAAGGAACAATGTGGGAGTTATTTTGAAAATCTATTTAATGAAAACCTGTTAAAATCCACCTACTCTCCACCTACTTCACCCACTTAAACCTACTCCACTAAACCTAACCCACTACACCACTACCACCTCAACTTCACCTACTCCTTACCTACTACACACTCACCCTCTTCTATATATAGGAATCATGAATCATTGTAATAGATATCAATATAAATCAATCAATAATACAATTCTCTATTTCTTTTTTTACATTGAATTTTTACAAAACCACTTGAGAAATTTTAAAAGAACTTGATAACTCTAGCAGGACTATTAATTGTAAAATCTTCTGCAAAATCAGAGTAGGAGAGGTGAGGAAATTGTTTGAAATGGCATGGCATTGACATGTGCATCCTAGACTAATTAGCGTGCTTATAAGGAGTGATTTAATCCACCTGGAGGGTGGTAGAAGAAACAGAGGAAGGCTAAGGAGAATACGAGTTGAGGTGATAAGAAAGGACAAGACTATCTTAAACTCGGTTAAGGATATATGACTGCAAATATAACCAATTGGAACAAATGGATCCATGTAAACAATCCCAAGGCCCAAGTAATTGGGACAAAGGCTTGTTGAGTTTGAGTACACCCATCATCAATTCTGTGAGGATAAAATGACATCTTTTCAAAGAAAAATATTAGTGTAAGGCTAAGGCTATGATTCTGCACATGTATAGTAAAGTAAACGAACACCTTTCACCCATTACTAGCAACTTCATTAGCTTCATCTCCTAGATATAAATAAAACAAATTCTACAAGAAAAAAAAGAAGAAAACACCACATTACCTTTGATATAAAGGGGATACGAATTCTTGTATAAGGCTTGATGAGCTTAAGCAACACCTGGGTCCTAACATTCTTCAAGAGATCTTCAATGTAATTCCGAATAAATGGATCATCCATTATCGTCCTTCTATTTGTCTGGAGAAATTTCAAACACCAACACAAATTCAGAATTTAAGGGAAAGGGCTGGATAATTAAAAAAATCTATAATAAAAGTAGGAAGTAAGTACAATATATACAATGTTCACTAAGCATACCTTCAGGATTTTCTCAAATTCCAATATCTCATTCCGTTGATAAGCGGCTATCAGGTTTGTCATAGCCAAAACCTCTGGGTCATTTTTATATCTACAGAGGGAGAAAGATCATACACTACATACAAAAATGGGTAGGAAATATAAACAAATTTAAGTCTCCAACCCATTTAAATAACTTACGGCTTTGCCTCTTGACCGTCAAAAGGGTTCACTTCAGATTCCATCAGCATATTGGCCAGAACCAAATATCTACGAAGTGAGAGAGGACCAAAAGTAATCAAATGCAAGTGTCCAAATTGAGTTAAAAACATTCAGAAATATCTGTAGCCTGTTCGCTTTTACACGATTTCAATGTAGTCTAGAAGTGTGCATATGTTCGAGTCAAGCATGTAATTACCAAATTTTCAGGAGTATATTAGTGAGATAGGCATGTTGGTACAATAGCTGGTCTAAAAAATAGAAGGATTCATTAGCTTTTAATAGTTAAAGATGGTACCACAATTCAACAGGATTGTGAGACATAAGCTTCAAAATAGTAAAGCACATAAAGGATCATGCATTGCATGTTGAGACTCGCATGTTGGATATATCCACCTCATACAACACTTAACAAAATAATTAAATATGCACCTCATACAACCAAAAAAGATAAATAAATTATTGTCCCACCCTCAACGTCATAGACAGGATATTCTTTCATTAAAGCCATAAAAAAGATAATACGTGCAAGATTTTGTTTCTGTGCTCCAATGCATCATCAAGAGACTCACAATCATCAACAATGTTATGTTTCTTAAAACTTTGCAATAACACATCACAACTTCGTAGGAAATGGATGGCCCCATTCTACTTTACATGCATTGAAAAGCCAAAATCCCTCACAATATCAATTAAGTTGATAGAAATTAATGAATGATTATAGAAACTTCCATTACATGAAATCTTAATATTAATCTCATATCATCAATTGGCTCTTGCCTTGTTTAACAGCCCATTCAGAGTTTACCTTCAATTGAGCAATACATCAAGTTTGGGTTGGCCAAACAAGATTACACACACCACTCTACACCACATGGTATGATGCAGGACAACCTCTGGATAACTAATTATAAAAAGGTATAGTATAGAGATAAAGGCAGACCAGAAGATAATGACAGACACAGAAACAATAAAAAGAGATAGGTTAAGGCATCAAAATAATATTTAAAAATGAACAAGTACCATAATACAAAAAGTTGTTATTCAGGAGCCTATGATGCACGGACATGGACATGGACATGGACATGGACATAGGACACGACACGGACAAGCAAATTTTCTAAAAATGAGAGACAAGACACGTTGAGGACACATTCAATATATATAAAAAACAACGCCCAATTAGTACACATTAATGTGTGTTTGGGAGGGGAAAGATTAAGTACACACCTAACTTTTGGCATAATGCACAAAGTGATGATCCCAAGACTTGAACCCATAACCTCAAGTTTATTAGGTCAAGTCTTAACCATTGAACCAATATGTATAATTTTATTTATTTGTAACATGTCTAAAAATTAAAAAAAAAAAAAAAAAAATCACTGGAAGATAATTAATAAACACAGTATCCAAAAGATTTTAATAAAATTTGATTTTTTTCTTCAAATAAAATAAAACTAATTTATTCTATGCATTTCAAGATAAGCAAACAAGAGATATACCCACAAAAATAGGAAAAAAAAGTATAAAAATATAACATAAAAAAAAAAAGGTCTACTCCGAATAGAGGGGAAAAAAAAATAAAGAACCAAGAGGAGAGAAAGAAATCATAAAAAGAAAAGAAGAAAAACAAAGTTAAGAAAAGAAAATGAAGAGAAGAAGAGAGAACCATAATCGAAGAGAGAAGCAACAACAAAATCGAAGAGCGAAGAGAAGCCCTAATCAGTTGGGGAGAGAAAGAGAGAGAGAGAGATTGAAGGCCCTGAAGCTGTTCAAAGAGGTGAATCGGAGGTCGATCAAAGGCCTGAAGCTATTCAAAGAGGTCAATTGAAGGCACTTCTAAAGTATTCTTCTTCTCTTCGTTTTTCTTTGTCTTCTCTTCGATTATGTTCTTCTTCTCTTCAATTCTGCTCTTCGATTTTGCTTCTCCTTCGATCACCTTCTCTCTATTTCTCAAGTTTATTTTTCCTCGCATGCCCAAGACATGTTTGATTGACAAAACTCCAAAAAAAAATAATAATAATAATAAAATAAAAAACGGGACACCTCTTGTAGAGTGTCCGACACATGTTCACTGCGTGTCCGACGCATGTCGGACACCTGTACGTTGCCTTTGGCGAGGTGTCTGTGCTTCATATTGAGGAGCTTAGTGTAAGGTACAAATGAAGAATTTGATACCTGGACACACTTGACATATGCAACTAGGTAAATTCAATATATATTAATATCATCATCTCATCATCACCATTCAATGATTGTCAAAATCAGTCCATTGTAAAGTATCACTTATTAAACTAGAGACAACTTATTCAAGTTTTCATATCTAACCATCATATAAAACTAATTTAACTATCATTCTGCTTCATTTGGGATCAATTTCTTAGTAAAGGCCATTAAATTTCAACTTACTACCGCAGCAGTTTTGTTCTAAATTTTCAATGATGCAGTATGCAAGAAAATTAAACTAAATGATCGTTCTCCCTATTGTTTCACCTTATTTATTTTCTCAAATTCTCAATATTTTAAAGCATTTGTTAGTTCGTGCAGAGGTAAAAAATAAATATATTTCTTCTGATTTTATACTAAAATAGAACCTTAATTTCATCTTACTCAAATTAAACTTCACAACATCAGAGAATCCACGCACACTTGCACGCACACGCTGACGGGAGGAGAGAGAGAGAGAGATTGCAAACATACTTTAGACACTGGATACGCCTATGGTTCCCAGCTTCATCATAGTTCTTAAAAGCTTCAAAGAAATCTGTGGCTGCCTCAGCCCACTGACGTTCTGCCATATGCATTTTCCCACCACATTCCCGAATAATTCCCATGATTCTAGGATGGGGTATTGCTGACTTGATTGATAGCGCTTTTTGGTATAATTGCTGCATTATTCCATTTATAGAATGAAGCTCAATGGACAGAGACAAACTGAAGGATATAGAAACCATTTATTATATCACTTGCAGGAGAAACATTTGCACAAAAATCTACCTCCGACAAAGTCATCCTTGAAGTTTTGGCACCACATCCCATACACAGAAATAATTAAAAAAAATACCACAACTTGAAAAAATGCCACAATGGAATGATTAACAATTTAACTAGATAGAGCAATGGTGTATTAGGATGTCAAGACCCAACATGGAAAAGGCAAAATAACAATAATAAGGCATTCAAAAAAACAAGCTCTATAATGCATGTCATCTTGCATCAAGATTCTTAAATTGGTACATCACTTGGGGGACACTCGCACAATTCACGTCAAGGTCTTAACTCTTGAATCACAGTGGCCGCCACCATAATGGTCGTGATCATGGCATGGTGATCACAACTTTTCTTTGCTCATACAATCTCCCCAAATAATAGTGATGCACATGTTTTAACTCTAGCATTTCACAAATACTGCATTAAAATGATTTTTAATGAAATTATTTTCAACTTGTAAAACATAATTTGATATAAACAATGAGTTTATTATTGTTTTTTAAATCACTGTCAAGTGGAAATACTTACGTTTTCTTTTAAAATTATCATTACTTTCATACAAATAAATATCAACAAACAAACATATACCAAATCTGAAAATGTAAGATAAATGAGAAAGGCTGAGAGGAGGTGGGAACTTGCTATATGTTTATGTTTTTATTTTTATTTTTATATTTAATATGACCTTTTGCCTTAGAATCTATAATTGGCTTCCAAATTAGACCTGCCATCACTCGAAATTCCCTCTGTCTTGCAGAAAACTTGTTGCACTCGGGCCCTAGTGCTAAGCCTTTCCTAGTTTTTGATAAGCTGTCCCTTCTTCACCATTTCTCCTCTTCTCAGCTTAACACAATACCAAATTCTAAAATAGTGCAAAATCCCAACCCACTTAATTAACAAAGAGAACCCCACTAAAGTCTCCCTACTATCTATTAACAACAACATGAGCCTTGTCATGCTCCCATTTGGAATATACATATATTTATTAAAATTGCCTCAGTCTGCTGGATATTGCATACAAAGAAGAAAAAGAACAACAAAGCTGCACACCACCACCTGATATGGTAAACCGTGATGACTGCTGACGGTTGAGTTTTTCTTTTCTCCTCCACTTAACGGTATCAATATTGTAAGTGCTAACCTAGAAGTTACAAACTAGTGATGGTCACAATAGTCCTTACGAGTCATTATGACACGATCACAGGCATATGAAATACTGAAACACATCGCCCCTATGATTCATAAGGTTTATTATACAACCATAATGTATTCAGCACCCTGTGTGGCCATTATGAAAATAGCCACTAAATTATTTGCAAGCTGTTATTTAAAACCTGATCCATGCTTACCCCATCATACAAACAGATTTTTTTTTTTTTTTTTCCTATCAACAAAGTTTCTTAAGCAGAATACTCTATTCTACCATACTTGGGATATATTAATCAATAATCCATAAGTTGAAGCCAATTTCTTCAAACCATTCAAATAAAACCAGTGTCAACAAGGATCTGGATCCCATCAACCCTCCAGATTGATTTCTATCCTTTGAATGAAGCACATAGTAATTTTCATAAATTGAAAAATTAAAAGTTTAATTACTCCCAAGAATGAGAAAAAGGAGGTGGGAAAAGAAAGGAGACAGCAATTCTTATCCCAATCCCAAACAATCAAATACCATGTGTAAGAAACAAATATTACTTTATGATGTCAGCAAATTCCATGAATTCGTGGCAAGACTATCACTCATACCAATTTCCTTATCACATAAATGCTGCTCTTGAATGCATCAAGAAAGATGACTTGTTAGATAAGCATTATGCCTCTAGGTCTCATATTCATATATTCGCATATATGTGTATATATCGATAAGTTTCTCTCTACTTACCAAAAAATAAAAGGAAAAGAAGATATCTATCACTAGGTTTGATTAATTCTCATAGATTACTCTCTCTTACTATAAGCTCTTCAATATTTGTAATTCTCATCATTTAGTAGTTGAGTGTTTTCAATCCTTTTTCCAGCGAGTAAAATTATTTGTAGAAAAGAAAGTACAATACACACAACTTAAGTACAAAAAGCCACTATGGTAAGCATTAGTAAAGAAAATATAAAAATTCACATGTATTCTTGTCACCTAAACACAAACAAAACACACACTAATACCATAGTGCTTAATAGGCAGAATTAAAAACATGTGGACAAGAAAAATAATCATGTGTCATCTCATCTCAGAATACTAACAAAAGGAATAAAAGCTAAACAATAAATTACCTTAAGCTTTTTGTTATTCTTAGTCTCGGTATACATTTGAATCTCAATTGCATATACCTCCAACAGTTGAGTTCCTTTCTTTTGGTCATCACTACCATCTTCTTTTTGACAAGATTTGTGAAGTTCCTTCAAAATCTAATAAATCCAAAGAATTATCTTCATCCAAGGAATATTTCATTATACATACTAAAATACATAGAAGTTATTATCTAGCCAATAAAGATACCTTACTCATTCGCCCATATTCACCCATATCAAACCAAATCTTACAGAGCTTTAGGTTCGTCTTAAACCAGAGCCTCTGAAAAAAAGAGAAATATATGACATCTTTTATCTATAAAACACAAAAAAGAAAAAAAACTTGTTCAGTGAAGACAAGATCAAAATTCTGACCTCGTTCTTTGCCTCTTCAAGGGCCTTCAGAGTGGTCTGATAGAACTCTTGCAAGAGACTGAAGTTCTGACTAGCTGATCCCGAAACAAAGTCCATAATATTGTTTATACACTTTTCACTGTAATTTCTTGTTACAGCTGATTTGATATATGTTAACATCACCCTGTAAGCGTCCATCATTTCTTTATACTTCCCTAACTTATAGTAGAGCTTGACAGTCTGCTTTAAAGCTTTAAATCCCCTGTAGATATTAAAAATAAAAATAAAAATTAATTAATTAAAAAAAATAACCCAATATTTTGTTCAGTTATCAAACAGTGGTCAAAACATAGGGATACAATGTATACAGATATCCAAGCATATGTTAAGCCTCTCAAATAAGGCAGTGCCAGGCCTATTATACACATGATATATTCTCTCATGTGCATTTGCTCACAATAATTGCATATTAGGGATTGTAAAAAGCTACCACTTTCACATTCCTATTAGTGAATGAGTACAGCACAAACTGAAGATTTCCAACTATAAGTGTAGAAATTTAATGTATAAAGAGAAATGATTGTATTATTGATTTATATAATGTTGTAGTTGATATATTGAATGTTACAATGATTCCTATATATAGAAGAGTAGGTGGTAGTAGGTGGTAGATGGAGTAGGTAAAGTGGAGGTGGTAGGTGGAGTAGGTGAAGTGGAGGTGGTAGTGGTGTAGTGGGTTAGGTTTAGTGGGTGAAGTAGGTGATAGGTTGGTGAAGTAGGTGATAGGTTTTAACAATAAGGTTCTCTCTCTCCCAGAACCAGAGTAAAGTTGAAAGAAAATATAAAAAATGGAAAGGCCAGAAGACATAATGAGGGACAGGAGGGGGAGTCCCTCATTAAATGTTTCCAGTAAGTAGTCCAATTTGAGATGAAAGCAGAGGTTTGTTAATTGTTCCTACTCAAAAACTTAAAAGAATAAATAAATAAAAATTGCCAAATAATAAATACATAAAACAAATAGAACTTTTCAATATTTGTGAATTTTCCATATTAACATAAATGTTATGCTATGTGCATACAAAAGCATACAAAAGAGCCACAAAGTAGAAATAGAGAGAAAATATTAAATGCCTTAACGAAAGCAAAAAAACCCTTTTCATGTCCAGAAATGCTTCATGAAAATAGAGATGGATCATTTATAAGTGTTCATATGCTTTAACATGAATGGACATAGGAGTTGTCTACAGATGTCCAACAAGCCAATGTTCAAAGGGAAAATCATCTTATATTTCATAGCATGATTCCAGAAAATATTAACATAGAAAATAGGACTAGGATGTGAATGTGAATGTGATACAAAAACAACATCTAGCATACATTTCCTCCTTTATTTGCGAAAAAGATGAAAGAGTTTTTTTTTTGGTCACATTTCCTTGTTTATTAATTTATTTATTATCTTTTCAAGTTTGAAAAGCATCCCTCTAATGACAAAGAACATATCTACACATAAAAATAAAAATACAAGGAAATCCAAATGACAAAAAAAATTAATGCAACAGATAAAGCAGAAATTAAACCACAGAACGTTTTGCAATAGTTTCTGCCACAAGTCAAATCCATTTCTATGTGAGAAAGAATAAAGCCAGCCACTTGTCCATCCATTGGTAAAGAACTGTGTAGGCCCTTAAGAACAGTGACAGAAGAAGATGCTATGGGAAAATGTGGCAGCAACACCAGTCAATTCTCAGGTAATGTTTCAACAGGATCTCATTTTATCACTCATTTTTTGCAATAAATCTCATGAACATGAACATATTCATGTACTACATCTTCAAAGAAAAAAGGAGAAGAAGAAGAAGTAAAAGGGTGAATAAAAAAGGCTAGAATCCATACTTCAAAGGAATAATAAATCATCTAGGATATCAGAGTAGAGTTCTTTGTTCTTTGTTTTTTGTTTTCTTATTTTTTAATGAGCATGTCCCTGTTTAAAAAACCCCATCCGTGTATACTTTCAACTTTCTTTTTCCAGCAACAAAAGGGATAGAGGGCTATTAAGTATGATAGCCTTGTCTACAACAAACTAAAAATTCTATGCTACTCACCATTCGGCCTTCTCAGGTTCCATCCGAACTACTTCAGCAAAACCAGAAAGAGCTCCTTCTGGGTCAGTCTCAACCAAGCCTAAGAAAAGAAAATAAACAAAAATAGTTAAAGGAAAAGCATAAAACCAATAATGTGAAGAAAATGATATGAGCATTTTGATACCAGATGATACTATTTGGTAGCATGAAAAGCCACACTGTTACATTTTTAGTGAACTTCTGCAAATATTTCACATAGGTCATTCTTAAATTTATCCATTGCATGGCCCCATTGGGTGTCTCATTGCACAATTTCAACCATTTTCTTTCCAGGAGCCAAATAGACATTTGGTTCTCATGTTTCACACATTCAGCATTATCAATAACTGATGTACCCTAATATTGCCCCAACAAGTATTACTAAAAATCATTGCCTCAGTGCAGTGTACAAGTTAGGTACCTTAGCTGGCACATAATACCGTATAGCTAGGGGTGTGCCTAATACCGCCGAAACCGCCGAAACCGCACCGAACCGTACCGCCAAAGCAAATTCATTATTATTTGCCAATCGAACCGCCGGTTTTTGGTAAGAAAAATGGCAAATTCTAGTAACACTTTTATCAATCCGCCGGTTTCTATTTTTCTTCCAAACCGCACCGCTATTAAATCATGTTTTATAAGATTCTAAAAATTCTTTTTTACTTAAGTTTGCTTTTTGTTCTATACCTTAGAATATAGTATTACATTACTGCTCGAGAGGAATTCAAGATGTCAGTAATCTAAAATAAAGTTGGATTCCAATTCACTTTTCAATCTTTTTTTTTTTTCTGGCCATGTTGCAAACTTGCATTCGCTCACTTTTCAATCTAAATACTTTTCAACAGTAAACATTTTCAATATATTGTAAACCCTGAATGATATTAATTTTATGTATTGTATTTGATCATTATACCTTCCACAGATGCTTGTAATAAACTGATGGCATAGTCGTTGATATTATCATATTGTTGCTACACTTGCTACATCAGAAGAACGTTTCGCAAGATGCTTAACATCACGGTATCTCTGGTCTTTTTTTTACTCTTTGATTTAAGTTTTGTAATTTGAATTATATTTTTTATAAACCGCCAATCCACCCGAACCGCCAAGGCAAATCTACCATTATTTGCCAACCGAACCGCCGGTTTTTAATAAGGAAAATGGCAAATTCTAGTGACACTTTTATCAATCCGCCACCCGCCATACGATTTCTATTTTTCTTTCAAATCGCACCGACCCGCACCGCGCACACCTCTACGTATAGCACATACATTCACACACTGATCATGGCAAAATTATCTACCAATGTCAATATTGCAGAGTGGAAATGAAAATGAACAAGTAAGCTTAATAGAGGTTATACGAAAATGAAAAGAAAAAATGGGTTAAGGCTTCTCATTATACAACTATATAGGACTATATCACACAAAAACAATCTTCGCAAGGATCAAAATTTAATGAAATCCAAAAAGTGGTGCCACAAATTTTCTACTCCCATCGAGCCCTGGAGAATTAGCTTTTGCAAATGATGAGTCAATTTGCAAACATCAAACCAAAGAAGCAAATTCCAAAAGTTGTGATATCTACCTCAAAGATCTATCTGAGACACCTCAACGTGTTAATACCAAGCAGAACAACGCATATGAAGTTGCTAGCATTAGATACCTAACCTAGCTTGTTGGATTGTGAAAGCAAATTGAATTGGAAGAGCAAAGAAGAAATTGCAACTGACTATCCATTAAGAAGATTGTTGGTAGATTTGAAGAATCCGTCAAAATTTTTCTCACAGATTCATGATAATTGTGAAAAGTTAAGGGGCCAAAACTACATATTTGTACACTTGTTTCCATAGGACCATAGAAGACAATAGCCAGAAATAAATACTACAGATTTCCTCCAAAAGATTGTAGGAGATTCTCCAATATCAATGAAGCATGAATACGGATATGGATATGGAATACAGGTACGACAACATGAATACATTGACACGATAAATGATACAATAAATTCTAAAGAAGTAGGATATGAAAACATCAAGGATAAGACAATTTATGTGTGTAAGTATATGTAAGAAATAATGTATAGAGAAAGAGAGAGAATAAATTGTATGTATTATTATTGATTGATATGTTGTTATCTATTACAATGATTCATGATTCCTATATATAGAAGAGGGTGAGTGTGTAGTAGGTAAGGAGTAGGTGAAGTGGAGGTGGTAGTGGTGTAGTGGGTTAGGTTTAGTGGAGTAGGTGAGGTGGTAGTGGTGTAGTGGGTTAGGTTTAGTGGAGTAGGTTTAAGTGGGTGAAGTAGGTGGAGAGTAGGTGGATTTTAACAGTATATCATGAATATATTAAAAGTAAATTTTAATGATACTTGTAACAAACTATTTGTTTTTAATGATCTATCAAATATTCTGCATTTCAAATTTATACCATATTCACTTAAAAAATATTAAGGTTATGTTATTTGAACACAAACTTAGACCAAATTTGACAAGCTTTAATCACACTATTTCCTAATTTTTAAAAATATTAAGGTTATGTTAACACAAACTTAGACCAAATTTGACATGCTTTAATCGCACTATTTCCTAATTTTTCTTCTCTGGAGAGTATGCAAAATATTGAAAACTACTTTTCAATTTATTCTAACGATTATACTCTAGACACAACAAATGCCACATCTTAATTTCAAGAGAGGTCAAATACTTAGGAAAATCAATAAAGCATACTTGTTCAAAATTAAAAAATAATAATAATAATTTCTAATTATGGATACATTTGCAAATTTTTGGAAACATATCTACAAGTATCCAAGGAGTATCAGTCTAATACAGGCATAATACAGATACGACTTCCTTGTATAAGTCTTTGTGCTTCATAGTCCAAGATACCCTTTCCCATTATCAAGTACATAATGTCAAGATGTAGTTATTATACTACCTCCAAGAGCTTCTTCTTAGCTTTTACAAGTGCAAATTGACATGGTAACTCAACCAATTTGAATATATATACATATAAGAGACCTTCAATAATTCATATCCTCAAGGTTTTTTGTTATTTATAACAAAGAAAATTTATTAATAATAGAAAGAGGAAAGTTACAAAATTAATGGGAGGACAAAACATCCACAAAGAATACAAAAAGAAACACACAAAAAAATACATATCACACACCACCCTCCAATCCCTACCAATAAGAAAACAATGGTAACACCTTAAAAGGAGATGAAACCAAAGCCCAAAATGATGATAAATGGATCATCTTATCCCATATGCTCTCTAAATCGTCAAATTTGTCAGCAAAAACTCTTTTATTCCTTCCCAATGAACCTATCAAAACTGTGGAAGCAAAAAGTAACTCAATCTTTCTTATTGGTTTGTGCGAATCCCAAATATCCACATCAACTATATGAAAAAGTTTGTACCACAATGCTAAGGCCACATGAAAATGCAAAAAAAGATGGTCAATACTTTCTTCAGCCCTTCTACACAAAATATGACACCGTGGAAGCAAAAACTTATTACATCTCCCCTTTTATGAAACAAATCATTGGTATTAATCTCTGTATGAGCCAAGGACCATACAAATGCTCTTACTTTAAGGGACACATGCATTCCAAATCACTTTATGAGCAGCAAAAAGGGTAACATTAGGATTATCGATTAACTCATGAAAGAAAAACTTGCAAGATAATACTTGAAGAATGAATGGCTTGGACGCTTTTATCAATAGCATCAATCTCAAAGAAACAAAATGAATAATAGCAAACAAAGATGCCAAGCCATTAGCCTCCTCTATCAATTAGATTCCAAAAAAAACTGAAATTCCAAGACATAGAAGACTTAGAAGAAGCAACAAGAACATTATGAGAATGAGATAAAACAATATAGACAAGAAAATAAATTAACAAAAGAACAATGCCCCACCTAGACATCCTCCCAAAACATGAATATACTCCCATTCCCTACCATGAAACAAATGAAATCTGAGAAATGATCAAGTCCCTAAGAAATACAGTTTCATGTTGTTCTAGAATTTGCAGACACATGAAACTACTACTCTCAAAGATGTTAACTGCCTCACTCACAAGGATTCAGCTTGACAATTCACCATGATGTCTACTAGCTTAGAGTTGATTTGATTCCACAATCTCAACTTTCAAGTCATCAAGTTCTAACTTGTAGATACTCAAGGATCGAGCGAAGTCAATCTGTTGTGCAACCTATGCTTGCTAAACTTACACCTAAATGGAAGTTGGAGGATGAGTCGACATGTTTCCAAGATCTTCACCCTTCCACAATGTTGTTACAGACAGAGTGATTGCCATCAATTCATATTAGACGAAGAAATGAAAGATGACTTCAAGACTAGAGATGTTCTCTACCTGTGAAGCATCAACATGTTCTCTAGCCTCACATATCAATGTCTCGGACATTTGGGACACCGATACATCCTAGAAACATGTCAAACACATCCAACTAAGTGTCCGAATTTCTAAGGCCAAGTTTGGCATGTCTTGAAAAAGACAAAAAGTCACTATCCTATTTAAGTCACATCATCTTATTTAAGTCACATCACCTCTCTTACATATCACTTCAAATCCAACCCAAACCCAACCCATATTTCATAAAAAGTCAAAAAGTGCACTTATTTAGATCATTCCAAACAACTCCTAAATATTTTTTGAAATCCAACATGTTAGGATATGCTGAGAAAACATTTTGCAGAGTTTCCTTTTTCAATTTGAAATCTATTGATAGTCTATGATCATTCGCATATCCGAATTTAATTTATTTACTTACCTTTTGAGTTATAATATTGGTTCTCAATGTCAACATCTTGTTCCTCAGGTTCCTCATCTGAGTATTCGAACCCATAATCCTCCATATCTGCGTCTGGAAAACACAAACCAAATTTTCAACACAATATTATACAAAAAATGGGAAGAACTAATAAGAAAGTAATACAAACCCTAAAAAACAGTCACATGTAGTAGAGGTCAAAGATGAAGATTGAACTATTCACAATGTACAGTTATGTTTCTATACAAGCAAGAAAGGTAATAGTTTTCACTGTTAAAAAAACTGAATATATGAAAATTAGGGCTTAATCAATTGGGTACTTCCCAGTTGTCTATTTTTTATTTTTTACTTTTGGTAATTTAAAAAATGCAGCCTCCAAGAATCGAATAAGGCATCTCACGTATGGACAAGGCTATGCATTTCCACTAGACCAACTTGCCTTATACTTCCTAGTTGCCTATTTTTTTATTTTTGTTTTTTATTTTGGATAAACTACACTTGACTTCGCCTGAGGTTTGGATAAGTTACACTCCGCCCCAAGGCAACAAATTTATGCTGACCTCTTATGTTTCATACTCGCACAACACTTTGCCCCGCCGTCAAGTCTGGTGTTAATACCAAAACAAATGTCATTAATTTCTCAAACTGAAAAGCCAAAAGTACCCTTTTATTCCTTCTAGGTAACCATTTAACCCTGATTCTAAACAGATAGGGTTGATGGCTGTGTAGAACAGTCTAAGTCTCAAGAATTCAAACAAAATATTTAAAATGCTCCATAGAACGGCATTGATTGACTGAATCAATTTGTATGACACAAAACAAACAAATTATGTTGCCCTAATCATCATTCTTAGAGCCGCGGAAAAGTTTCAAAAGCATAGACGTAAACCCACATTAACAAAAAAAAAACGAGAATGGTACAAAATCTTCAACAGAAAAACACAAGGGCATGAATAAATAGCAATTCAGAACAATAATACAACCGTTTCGTCAAGAAATTTTGTAATTCTTCTCAATTTACGACAGATTTAACAAACAAAATCCACATACGAAACTCAACAGAAGGGGAAAAATAAAAACTGATAAAACGTGGAGAATTAAATCGTAGGGAGAGAGAGAGAGAGAGAGAGAGAAAGAATCACCAGAAGCCATGAATTGAAAGCTTGGATGGAAAATCAACCACAAGGAGGGAAGAACTGCAGAGAAGGTTTAATACTTGAGAGGGTTTAATACTTGAGAGTTGAGACCGACCGACGTCTCTCTCTCTCTCTCTCTGCCTTTGAGTTAGAGGGAATTGGGCCCCCAGAGAATTTAGATCCCATCTTTGCCTATGTTGGCTTTTGAACTGGTGGGCCCAGTTCCCTTTCCTCTTTTTTTTTTTTTTTTTTTTTTTTTTTTTTTTTTTTTTTTTTTTTTTTTTCAACTTGAATTTTTTACTAATTTTATTTCCAAAAAAAAAAAAAAGAAAAAAAGTTTTGGGTGTAATAATGATTTACTAAAATATATTTATTTCGTTTTTCAAATTTTAAAGTGTTGTGATTTTGATAAATGTTCACTTTTAAAAAAATCAAAACTTTGCTTGGTTCTTATTTTTTAAAAACAGTTTTCAGAAAATTCTACACTCTTATTTTCCGTATTTTTTTATTTTTACTGAATTTTTTTAATATTTTATGTAAATTTTTTACTTTTTAAACACACTTAACATAAATATACCTAGAAAGTAAAAAAAATGTAAAAAAAATCTTTTAAAAATTTACTAAATATCAAAAATATAAAAAAATATAAGAATTTAGTACATTTTTTATATTTTTATGTATTTCTTAATTTTTTAAAATATTTTTTCATAATTTTTTTTTACTTTTTAGACACATCTAAGTAAGGTGCATCTAAAAAAGTAAAAAAAAATGTTTAAAGTTTTAAAAATATTCACTAAAAATAAAAAAACACAAAAATCAAAAAATTCAATTTTCAAAAAATTTAATTCAAAAAACTCAAGCCAAACACAGTGGATATTTTTGAAATACTTTTACCAAGCCTATTAAATAAGACGTATAACTACGTAAAAGAAAAGGAGAACGAAAATTTACTATAACACATCTCTGTTAGAAATTTTTTTACACTTTAAATACCATATCTCGACTTGATTCATTGATGACCACTAGTTGTATTTATGATGCCCTATTGTGTGCTAAGATGAATTTTTACTAATAATTCAACTTAAGCTATAAAAGAGATGATGATTTCTATACAATGAGCATTGTAAATTGCCTGTTTCAAAAAGATAGTCATAAGAATGAAAGTTCATCCTTATTTTTTGATTGAAATACAAGTAAGACTAAAAAAGGAGGGGATGGTGGCATCATCAGGATAAATAATAGCTTTGGTTAGAACAATGCTTGTATTTCTTTCATGATAGTCATCATTTCTTCGAAGTAGTACTACTTGTCATCGTTAGTTGTTCAGCCCTTTAAGAGGTCAATCTCTAGTACTTTATCCATGATGACATTAATCCCACTGTTGTTTGTAGGGATTGGGAGATCTTAATAAAGTTTACGGCACCCAACTAGAAAGTAGTGCAGCTTTCTACTTTCTTCAATGAATTGTGTTTTACTTGCATGTAATGTTTATAAGAAGAGAGAGATTCTCCAACTTTGTCAACAACACGTTTCTAGAGAGAGAGTTTGAGAGAGCAAAAGAAGAGAATACACATTTGGAGATGAAGGTTGAGAAGGGAAAATCCAATAAGCAGAATGCGCCGAGCTATGTATGTGCTCGGTTTAGAAGTGTAGACCGAGCTATGTGTGCAATTGAGGGGAATTTACACCAAATAAGGGATCGGACTATATGTGGAATGAGCTGACCTAAGGATAGTACGAGCTAATGACATCGTCCTCTGTATAGACCGAGCAATATTTGGTCGAACCATGGTTGACCGATTGGACAACTCGAAGCTGAGCTGATTGATGGAAGTTGGTAAACAACCTTGTGCCGAGTTATGGGTAGCACGACAAGAGTCGCTACGTGGCCCAATTGGAGTGCAAGGAGGAAAACCCACCAGTAGTTACGAATCAATACCGTTTGGCGGTTTGGGCAGTACAACCGTACGTCCAGAAAAGGACAAGCAGAGTGGTGCGCGCAGGAGCTATTTAAACTATGCAGTGGCTCCATACAACAGGTTTGAATTTTTGGCTACCTAGAGCTCTATCTCTCTTTTGTCTTCTTTCTCTTTCTCTCTCTAAAAGGGTGCTAAGTTGATCGTCGGAGGGGCTTTCCAGCATCACACCCGCCAGGGAGCTCACCGTCGTTGTGTTCTTAGGTTATTTGGAGTAAAGCAAAGCTTGGACATGAGAAGTATAGACAGTGACGAATATTTGCTCCCTATACAATTGGCGCCGTCTGTGGAAATCCGACAGACAAAACCTTATCCTCCAAGCTTTTCCGGTCATCTTTTATGGCAAACAATGATGACATTACGTTGTCTACCATCGACAACATCACTCTAGAGTTCGTTCGGTGCAGAGATGGCCTGCCCGCTATTCCGACGATGGCTGGTTTGAAGACCTCTAAGCAAGGACTTCCCAGATATGCGCGAGACAAGCATGCAAGAAGTTCTAGGCGCTTTGTTAGTCCAGATGAGCATCGCCGACGACGAGATTCACACACTTAGCACCTGGAAGACAAGTTGAGAGAACAAGATACCATCATCAAGAAAATGACGATGAAGATGGAGGCCATAAGACGCCAGTTGAAAGGAAAGGGCGCCGCTAGAGTGAGAAACCACAGTGAGCACGCCTATTCCCGCCGTTCTGGCAGTCAGAATAAATGCCGCACCCCTTCACTCTCTGTCACAAGAAGTTTCAAAGCTGGAGACTATGTCACGCTGGCAACGATATCTCGCATGCAAGACAACAATTACCATCCCTCACGTCCGATGACGACGTCGAGATATTCTCGCTCCGATCGCTTAAAAGACCTGAGTGATATGTTGGAGAAGCACGCTCACCAACGGGAAGCATATAGGGCGCCTACTTTGCAGCAGCTGGTCCCTAAAGGGCCAGCCAATGAAGAGGTTGCTATGCCACCACCACGCTTGGCGATACTCGTGCCACCAGACAGAGAGTTGGCAAGGCTGAGCGTCACCCCTTTTTCCGTAGAGATAGAGAACACACTGCTCCCCCCTGGGTTCCATCAGCCAAAGTTTACGTTATATGACAGGAAAATTGACCCATACATGCACGTAAGCCATTTCTAACAAGTTATGGCAAGGCATAGGCGTAACGATGCACTCATGTGCCTTATTTTCCCATCAAGTTTGGATGAATTTGGCCTAAAATAGTTTGAGAGGTTGTTGGAGGAGAGTATCGAGAGATGGCAGTAGTTGGCGGAGGCATTCGTGACTCGATTCAAAACCAACACCAAAACCCCCAAGGAAGTCGACCACCTTCTGGGAATTAAGATGGAACCGAACGACTCGTTGAAGGCGTATAATGGCAAGTATTGGGAGACATTCAATGAGGTTCTTGATTCCCCGACGAACTTAGCAATCACCCAAAATAAGCACTATTTTCCAGTCGGACGTAGACTGAGAGACTCGCTCACAATAAATCAACCGTTGGCCATGGAACTGCTCATGCAATGTATTAATGTGCACATTTAAGTTGAAGATGATGCAACCACAGCTACCGTGAAGGCAAGTCCGGTAGTAGAGGACAAGAGAGTAGCGGAAAAGATTCAAGCAGTCAAACAAGAGGATGGCCGTGCAAACAACCCTAGAAGAGATCTAGGGAGTTCGGTTTTAGAATTAGTCAGTAAGAAGGCCGAGGAAAAAGGGCATAAAATTTGCAGGATATAAATGGCCGAGCTATTCCCAGAACGTAGAACACTGTTAATCTGAAATTTTATTCTTAGTTCTATTTTTGTAACGCATTCTACTATTGACGTAATGAAACAAGTAGACTATCTTCCTAAAAATTGTTGTATTTTTGCCTTGCCAAGCGAATTTAGTGCGATCCAAGGGACAACTGACAATCATTTTGACAGAAAGATAAGAATTCCTTACTAGGCTGATTTTGCTTGCCAAGATGAAAGTTGGTGTTTTTTTCAACTTTGAAATTCTTTGCCAAGCGGATCTTGCTAAGTAAGAGGCAAGAGGTTTGTTGATGGTTTTGATCAACTTTAGAATTCCTTGCCAAGATGATTTTACTCGCCAAGAAGTCTTATTAAGTTGATTTTGCTCGCCGAGATATAAGTCGCTGAGCTGATTTTGCTCGCTATCTTTGAAGTTCCTTACCGAGCTGATTTTGCTCGCCAAGAAGCAAGTTGCTAAGATGACCTTCCTTACCAACCTTGGAGTTCCTTGCCGAGTTGATTTTGCTCGCCAAGAAAGCAAGTTGCCGAGCTGACCTTGCTCGCCAACTTTGGAATTCTTTGTCAAGCTGATTTTGCTCACTAGGAACAAGTTGCCGAGCTAATTTTGCTCACTATGAAGCAAGTTGCCGAGCTAACTTTGCTTACCAACTTTAGAGTTCCTTGCCGAGCTGATTTTGCTCACCAAGAAATAAGTGCCGAGCTGACCTTGCTCGCCAACCTTGAAATTTCTTGCCGAACTGATTTTGCTCACCAAGAAGCAAGTGCTGAGCTGACCTTGCTCGCCAATCTTGAAATTCCTTGCCGAGCTAATTTTGTTCGCCAAGAAACAAGTTACCGAGCTGACGTTGCTCGCCACCCTTGGAGTTCCTTGCAGAGATGATTTTGCTCGCCAAGAAATCAAGTTGCCGAGCTAACTTTGCTCACCAACTTTAGAATTCTTTGCCGAGCTGATTTTGCTCACCAAGAAGCAAGTGCCGAGCTGACCTTACTCGCCAACCTTGGAGCTCTTTGTCGAGCTGATTTTGCTTGCCAAGAAGCAAGTTACCGAGCAGACCTTGCTCGCCAACTTTGGAGTTCCTTGTCGAGTAGATATTTGCTCGCCAAGAAACAAGTGGCCGATGTGACCTTGCTCACCGACCTTGAAGTTCCTTGTCGAGCTGGTTTTGCTCGCCAAGAAGCAAGTTGCCGAGTTGACCTTCCTCGCCCACTTTGGAGTTCCTTGCTGGGCTGATTTTTGCTCGCCAAGAAGTAAGTAGCTGAGCTGACCTTGCTCACCAACTTTG